AAGCACACACCGAGCAGCCTCCACGTTGTCGACGAACAACTGTTCTTTCTGAACAAGGGCTCGTTCATAGATGCCCCTAGAAGTGTGGCCGCCCACAAGGCCACGAGGAGCGACGAGAAGCTCTAAGAAGAGGTCAGCCCCAGAGCTCTCCTCGGGAGGCCAATACCCTCTTGAGTTGATGGCAGCTCCCTGGCTGACGGGTGCCGCCACCGAACCCCCACGCACACGCTGGGCAGCTTGGAAATCCTCCTGCTGCTGGTCGAGGTCATTCGAAACCTCCCGGGGCTCAACAATGGCACCCTTCTCTTCCTCTTCTTCCTCCTTCTCCTCCTCTTCATCCGAGGAGCCGAAGAGACTCTGATAGGAGCGTCGAGTCTCCTTCTCCTCGCGGAGTGGAGACTTAGAGGCGGTACGCTTCTTTGAGGGCTTGGCGCCTTCGGCTTTAGAGGCCTTAGCGCGCGCAAGACCCTCGGCAAGCGAGAGACGTTTGCGAGGACTCCCTTCCTCATCGCCACCGGCTTTGGGAGTGCCCTTAGCCTTAACGGCCGGACTCTCAGAGCGCACAGAGGTCCTGGGACTGTGATCACCGTGATCACTAGCGGACGACTGCACGCTGTCTTCTTTGTGCTCACTGGGCACTGGGCTGTGCCCTCCCACAGAGCCCGCAGGAGCATCATGAGTGCTCTCGGACTCGGCATCGTCCTCACTGCCCGAGTTGAACTCACGTTCTACGAACCGAGGGTTCGGACGATTGTCTGAAGACGAGGGCGACGGACTGCGGCGCCTGCTTGCGCGCTTGTCCGCAGCCGCGTCACCCGAGGATCCGATAGCCTCGGAGGCCACCTGAGTAGCCTCCTTAAGTGCAGAGCCTTTGCCGTGAGGCTTAGTGCTCTTGGCCTGCGCCTTACCGGCTGCAGCCTTGGAGCGTGTCTTAGCACCGCTCTTAGCAGTGCCACGAGGCATGTTAACGGTCGAAGTGGAGACCTTGACGAAGAGCGCACAGGTTGCTGCTCGAGGCTCTAACTGTAAAGTGAGCCTCCGCCGCGCTCGCGCGGCCCGAGTCGATGGTTTTCGACTTTGAGAATGAGAGTTTGTGACGAACATCTCTTCATTCTGATTGGTCGGTAAACCGAACCTAAGTGGGGGAGGATGTAACGGGGTACGTAGCACTAAGTGTACCCTGGTTACATGAAGTGTGACACTTCACACTTCAGGAGTATGACATGTCATATTCCGGGATATTTGGTACAAGGTACCAAGGTCATTCAAAACCAACCATTGGTTAAATGACATTGCATTTCTATAGGTAACTTATAGTTTGTATTAACCACAAACTTAACCTACCTATAAATATACTCAGTTTACAATCTACCTTATTTAGGTCACTTCGCTCTCTTTAATTAAAGAGGGGACCTGTGAACTGCCGTTCACTGAGAGTTTGTATACTCTCGGAAGATAACTTCCTCTAGCGCAAGGTGCTGTGTGACCCCGTCACAAGTAAGGCCAGGCAAGAAACGAGGGCTGTCAAGAAATGAGAACAAGAAATGAGCCTCAGGCCCAGTCTTAACCGCGCGCCATGGCACGAATTTTGGGCCATCTCCATTTTGCTTAGCTAATCTCACCTGTGGTTTAGGGCTTGCGGTGCCATTCAAGTGCCATGCATGGCACCACGAAATGCCATGGCAAATGGCTGTGCCAGGTGCCAGGCCGTAATATTAGGGCCAACTCAATATATCTTTCCGCGCCAATTTCATTCCGGCAGACGCCGTGCGATGCAGAGGAACAGAGACGTCAAGGTCGTTGTGGCGTTGACATGCGTCTTGCTGCTTGGCGATAACGCGGCGGGTGCGGGCGAGCGCCGGCCGTGCCTACCGCGTCGGCGTTTAAACTGGCGTCACCACTCCCAGTTGCTGTTAAACGAGGGCCAGTTCCGCCAGTACTACAGGATGTCATTCCAGTCATTTGAGAAGTTGTTGCGACTGCTGGCTCCAAGCCTGCGCGTTGATGGAGCTCAATCACGTCGACGAACCGAAGGGAACGAGCCCCTTACTGCCATTAACAAGCTACAAATGTTTATCTCGTGGCTGGCAGGGTACTCTTTCCACCCGGTTCGGGCGCTTGCTGGTGCTAGCAAGCCGGGTTTTTACATCACCATTCAAGAGGTCATGGATGTTATCCAAGCTCATGATGAGTTACAGCTGAGGTTTCCGGCGACGGAGTACGAGCAGCGCCAGTCAGCATGCGCGTTTGCTAGTCTGGTCAAAAACCCAGTTTTAGTCGGCTGCGTCGGTGCTGTGGACGAATGGCTGTGCTGCATTCAAGTTCCCAATGGCCGCGAGGTGAACCGCATCTCTTCGTTCTTTTCTGGACACTATCAACGGTATGGTGTCAACGTTCAAGCGTGTGTAGACCACCGTAGCCGCTTTACTGCGGTGACGAGTGCTAGTCCGGGCGGTATGGGTGATGCTCTAGCGTCTATGAGATGGGAGCTGTCTAGTCTCGTGGAGTCTTTTCCGGTTGGTCTACACCTCGTTGGTGATAATGCCTACTCGAACAGCAACACTCTGCTTACGCCATTCACGCGACCGCAAATCGCAAGTCAATCAAATACAACAAGATTGTATCGAGACAGCCTCAGCTTTCACTTAAGTCAACTACGTATCAGAGTGGAGATGGCATTCGGGCTGCTGAATAAGTGGCGGGTTTTCAAGGCTCCGCTTCGGGTCGGAGTGAAAAGCATCAAGAAGGTGGTGCATGTAGCGTGTATGTTGCACAATTTTTGCATCACTGAGCGCCTGTGTGAGAGCCACAACGAAGATGTGGACGATGACGCGGACATGGCTGCTACTCTTGCATCTAAACCCGTCTCCGATATAACCGACTTGACTGTTGGAGTTAACGATGCATCGGCATATCGGGCAATGTACGCCTCAACACAAGTCTATCCGGAGCCGACGTCGGAGTCGGAGTTGCTCCGCAATGCCTACGTGGACAAACTGCGACAAATGAAGCGGCTACGACCTGCGTACAACATTCGCCGCGCTGAGAGAGAACGAACTAGTGAGTTGTTGTAAGTTGAGTTTATTAATGTCCATTCGGACAGTTCAGAAGTCGCTACCTTCTCATTGAGCTACACTTCGTCGAAAAAGGCCTCTTCCAGCTTCGACAGCTTCATGCGGTAGAGATCCAAACTGCGTTGAAGGGATTCATCACTTTTCCCGGTCTGCTGTAGTTTTTCCATGCGAGCCTCTACCTGCTGGATGAGCTTGTGCAAGCTCATCAGGCGTTCTGCTGTACTCGGTCTCGCAGCATCAATGGCAGCTGCTAGCGCATTGACCGACTCTGCTACTTCACTACGCTGCTTCTGCGTTCCCACTTGCTGTGGCGGCTTCTTGCCGCTTGAATCGCTACGCCCACGCTTCAGCGAGTCGAACTGGTCCTTGTCGAACAATCCACCATCGACAAAACTCGCCAGATCGCGTTTGTGCTTCAAACACTCGCGAAGGTAAAAGGTGTCAAGGGCCCCTTCGCAGTAGGTGAAGAAGTCGTCCTCATGCCCCCCGGGCTTGGTGAAGTTTGCCATCGCCTTCAAATACCTCTTGTTCACGTCCTTCCACATGTCATAGGCCTTGGTAGCACTGTGAATAACGACAGCTGACGCATCAACTCCTTCAAAGCGCGCGTCGGAGGTGAAGAGATCGTTGTAGTCGGTGCGGTTCGAGTTAAACTCCGACGCAGCATCACGCCAAAATGAGGAGTGCCATGAGTTTCCCCAGCGTCCAGCTGCTGGCGAGAAGGCTTGTCACCAATACGTGCGAAGCGCGGAGCAAAGGTGTCCGAAAACAGCACATTCAACAACCGAATTGTGCAGTTGTTCGACGGCACCGAAACACCGTCAGCGGACGCGAGGGTTGCCGAAATCATGGAGCAATGTAGAGCATCGAACTCACACAGGTGCTTCACGCGATCAGCACAGAGGTTTTCCTGCCGAGGCGAAGCTTTCGGCTCGTGCACTCCTTTCGAAGCTGCTCCACTGCCCACAAGCTGTAGTCGTCTGAGATTGGTGGCGTCGTCTTCCCCGGGTCTACAACAGTCCACAGTGCTGACACAACAGACTCCGAACGCGAGTTGGACTCACTGGGATTGGTAGTTGCCGTCTGCGTCGCCCCCTCAACAGCCCGCAAAGCGATCGCGTCGGCTGCACTCGCGTCGACATCCTTGTCACCTTGCATTGCTTCAACCTCGCCAAAAGTTAAGTGGGCATGTCGAAGCTTAGCGAAAGCGCGTGGGGTGCATCAAGACGAATGGAGGAGAGTGCATGCTGCATTGGCCAGCAGTGCCGGCCGCGGCTCCTGAAAAATTACGGTGTGTGGTGAAATATAACGCGATGGCGCGAGCTGGCACCGCACGAACCAGTCTGAACCAGATCGCGTGGCACCATCAGCTCACCTAGCCTCTGGCAGGCACGGCACGCGTAGCGCGCGGTTAAGACTGGGCCTCAGGGTCGTTCTTAGCCACGCCATGCCATGCCATGGCACGAAATGCTGTGATCCGATTGGATGAGCGCTTGCTAGGGCTAGAGTTTAAAGTAATTAAAATGACAGGAAGTGCCACGGATGGTATTTGCAAGTGCCATAGCAAGGGGCAATTGCCATATGCCAGGCTACTTTTATTTTCATTAATGTATGCTCTAAAAATAGTTTTCATGATGGTACAATGGCAGGGTAATTCTATTCGTAGCCACGCCATGCCATGGCTCAATTTCTAGTGCCATGGCATGGCACGCGTGGCAGTGGCTAAGAGCCACCCTCAGGAAATCTCATCGTCTGAAACGATGAGGACTAAAAATTAGGCTGCTAAGAAACTAATAGCTTAAGAAACCCTATTTAAAATAAAATAATTATTTATCCCTCACACAAAAATGCTTTTTTAAAGCAAAAATAAAAATAAATAAAAACGTTTTTAAGAAATATTCTTATCAATCTCACAAAAATAGGTGAAATTTTGAGCACCATGAGGTTCGGCGTTGCTCGCAGAGAGGAGGAGGACGCCGCGCCGCCAGCTCATGTCGTGGAAGCCGATGCGTATTGGGAAGTAAAGAAGATGCATATTTCTCGTGCAGATGTTTCTCCGTGCCGCCGGCGGTTCCGGGCACCGAGTTCGGACAATTCCACGACGTCCAGCGATGATGAAGCCCCCTCAGACTTGGACCCGATGCTGACGGACAGCGACCGCGGCGTAAACATGGCTACGTCGGTGTTGGGTACGCTGCAGCTAACAGCGAAGTCGCGCCAGGAGCTGCTGAAGCAAGTTGAACGCGCGTGCGAGCGCAAGGCAGTGCAGGCGGTGACGGGCAGTGGTGCGTACCTGGCTCTGTGCAAGACGCTACAGCGTGCACGGCAGGATGCGGAGGCTCAGCTGCACCGTATAGATGCGGATGCTGGTAGATCTGAGGAGGAGATGCTGAGGAAACATCAGCAGCTGGAGAGGGAGGCAGCGGCCAAGCTGCAGCAGATTCGATCGAAGGAGAGATTGGCCATTGAGAGTGTGGAGAAGGAGCTGCGCGCCTTCCAACAGGCGCGAGAGGACGAGCGACGACGAGAAGAAGAGCAGAGGGAGCTCAAAGAAGCTGCAGTGCGTCGTGAAGAAGAAGCTCGCGAGAAGGTGGGGCTGTGGCGTTGTTGACGTTGGTGGACGATGTTCTCAAATGGTAAATGTAATTATGTAGGCGTTGCAAGAGGCTAAAGAGAAAGAGGAGGCTGCAGAGGCCCAGCGCAAGGTCGAGCATGAAGTGGAGCAAGCGCAAGCGAAGGCGAAGGCTCTGGCAGCTGAACGCGCTGCCGAGCACAAGAAGCAGCAGGAGGAGCGTGAAAAGGAACAAGCTGCGAAGAAAGCCGCCGAGAAAGAAGCCGCAGCTCAGGCGAAGAAATACGTCAAGGAGGGACACGAGCGTATTAAGCGCCTGGAAGAGCTACATCACCAGTCGACAGAAATTCTCGACAGTCCTGACCCGGAAGTGAAGAAGATCCGAATGCAGATCAGGCGCGAGGTGAGTTTGCCTGCGCTTACAGTGTTTTTTCTACTGGAGATAGATGGACGTATTAACTCACTTTGACCTTAAGGCTGGCGCATGTAACCAAATTGCTGCGGCGCCGTCGGCTATCAAGAACGTCGTGAGCAAAATCCAGCAGCTCCTCCAGGTGAAACGCACTTTTTGAGCTGGTCCTCTTGTGGTCTCTTGGCTGACGATGTTCGTGTCAGATGGCCAAGTCCTCAGGTGACGCGTACTTCAAATTCGCGCTCGACATGGTGGCTTCAAACTTGTCCAAGCAGGTGGAGGGTCGTGCAGACTACAAGTACGTTGGGGCGTTGTGTGTTGTCTTCCAGTTCTGAGAGCATTGAATTGAACCATTTATGCTGGACTCTTTGACATTGCTGCAGATCCTGCTACCCTATCGCGCACGTGATCAAGATGAGTTGTGTGCACACCCCGGAGTTGACCGACGTTATGTTGGGGTACTTCCACAAGACTTGCGTCTTCACAATCCCGGACAACCCGGAGAAACACGCGTCGCAGACGATCGCCGAGTACAAATTATCTGTGGGTTTCCACAAGGCCGTTGGCGAGAGCTCGGATCCAGACGGTCTGGAGCACGTGACGGAATACACCAGACGCATGACGATGATCTCGGCTGTGCTGGCTGCTGTTCGGCAGACGACTCCATGGGACGGCAGTCCGTCGCCGCCTGGACTGGAGCTTGGAGATTGCTGGGCTTGGCTGGCTCGGCTGGTGAATGAGCCGCTTCACCTCATGACTGGCGCTCTGACTCTGACCATCCTGGAAGTGGCCGGCTTCGAGTTGCTGCGTAACTACCAGAAGCAGTTCCACAAGCTGCTGGTTCTCATTGCTCGTGACGTGTGTCCGCGACTGAGTAAGAACGCCAAGACGGGAGCAGCTAACGCTGCTGGTCAACTCGAGATGTTTGTGAACCAATACCACGCCAACCGCTGCACTTTGAACGAGCCTGACGGACGAAAACTTGAGGAGACGAAGATCTCCGAGGCTGACGAAGAGAGAACTGATCGTGATGACTACGGAGGGGGAGGAGGTTACTATGGAGGTCGTGGAGGGGGCCGGGGTGGTGGACGTGGCGGAGGTCGGGGCCGTGGTGGTGGACGAAGACGTTAAATCATTGCGGAGAATACACAAAAATGGAAGTGTCAATTCATTTACTGCTTTACGCATCTGATAGTCTGGCTGGGCTGTCTTACTTCTGGCCGAGTGTCGGCATCACAGCGCTGTAGCGTGTCTTCTCATTGTAGTCCCACAGCGACGTGACGGTCTTGATCTGCGTGTAAAAGTTGATACCAGCTTTGCCGTAGAAGTTCAGGTCGCCACGGATCGATGCACGCGAGCCAGTGAACGAGAACATGGGCAGAGGGACGGGGATCGGCACGTTGATGCCCACCTGACCCACATCAATTTCGTGTTGGAACTTGCGAGCAGCTGCCCCTGATGACGTGAAGATTGAGGTTCCGTTGCCGTACGGGTTGCGGTTGATGAGCTCGATCGCTTCTTCCAGCGTGTCCACGGATGTGCAGACCAGCACTGGAGCAAAAATCTCTTCCACGTACGCAGGGTTGTCCGTGCCCACGTTGTTCAGTACCGTCGGACCCACAAAGTTACCATTCGGGTACTTGGAAACCTTGACGTTGCGTCCATCGAGAAGCAGCTCTGCACCATTGTCCACACCTTCTTGGATCAGACGCTCCGCGCGCTCCTTGGCCGCCACTGTGATCAACGGACCGACATCAGTTCCAGGCTCCAAGCCGCCGTTCACCTTCATCTCCTTGGCCTTCTGCACGATGTCGTGCACCCATTCCTTGGACTTGCCCACAAACACGGCGACGGAAAGGGCCATGCAGCGCTGCCCAGCAGCTCCAAAAGCAGCGCCAGCAAGAGCTCCGACAGCCTGCTCCTTGTCGCAATCAGGCATGATGACAGCGTGGTTCTTGGCACCCAGATTGGCCTGCACACGCTTGCCGTTAGCACTGCCACGAGAGTGAATGTACTCGCCCGCCTGGTTGCCGCCCACGAAGGAGATGGCTTTGATCTCGGGTGCGTCGCAGATGAAGTTGACAGTGTCCTGAAGGAAAAAAAAACTCACATATTAGCGACTATCGGAAAGCTGCAACACTTGTTTGCACGAATGTCTTACATGAGCACCGTGGATAATGTTGAGCACACCGTCTGGGAGACCTGCTTCTTGAGCCAGACGAGCGAGAATCTGCACACAGAGAGAGGAAAATGGTCAGAGCTGAAGTCCACCTAATGAATGAGTGACTGCCTACCATTGTGGCACCAGGGTCCTTCTCCGAGGGCTTGAGCACGTATGTGTTACCGGTCACGGTACCCGTGGGGAACATCCAAAGCGGGATCATGGCTGGGAAGTTAAAGGGACAGATACCAGCACACACACCCAGCGGCTGCTTGTACGAGTAAGTGTCCAGGGACGTGGCCAGGTTCTCCGCCGTCTCGCCCATCATGAGCGTGGCAGTTCCGCATGTGTGCTCCACGACTTCCAGACCACGAAACACGTCGCCACGAGCGTCAGCGAGCGTCTTGCCCTGTTCATTGGTGATGGACAATGCGAGCTCTTCTGTGTGCTCACGAATCAGATGCTGCAGCTTGAGCATGACGCGCTGACGGTGCTGCACGCCCACCTCCTTCCACGTCTTGTAGGCTCGAGCAGCGGCCTCCGTGGCTTGGCGCATCTGTACATCATCAGTACCGAGCAGTCAGAAAACTTAGAGATCAAGAAACAGGGACTGCGGCTGTCCTACCTCATCTTGCGTAGCCTCCGGGACCTGGTAGATCACCTCGTTCGTCGCCTGTATACGTAGCAACAACGTTCGATCAGTGCAGCTGATCGCAGGCTCGCCCCCTGCGGTCACATAGCTCGACGTACGGGGTTGCGGAGGTCAATCCACTTGTCGGTCTTAGACTGCACGAACTTGCCGTCGATAAAGAGCGGTACACGTTCCTGTAGAAGACAACAAAGTTAGTTCGAGTTACGAGAGAGCTGAGAGGGGGGGGATTGACGCACCACGGAGGACGTGGAGAAGGCGCGCGCGGAGCGGCAGGCGACGACGGAACGGGACACACGGTGCAACATCTTCGCAAACGGAACTTCGACAGCGCGGGGCAAAAGCGAGAATGGGCAGATCGCAGCGGTCATCCGGACGGGGTGATCCCCTGCATCACGCTTGATGTTTTGACGCGTACTTCAATATACCCTTATTGGGCAACCAATCTTATTCTTTGGCTTTGGCTCGTTGCCATTTGAGGGGGTATCATCGAAAAACTTTGCTACTGTACTTGACATCGTCGGCATCATGAAGCAAAGACCAAAGACTCATGGCTGTTTTGCGGCTCTGGAGAATACGACACTGGGAGGTGTTTCCGTGGTGCGTGGCTGAGCATGACGCGCATGCTCCTCCAATGAATGATCATCGAATGATCTGTGGCAAGTTGCTGTAATGCGCTCTTTAATTCCGATTTCGCACTTAAACGAATAACTTTAAAAGCGCCAACCACACATTAGTGTCCAGCAAGATGAAGCGCCTGCTATCGCTTGGCGCGCGGGCACCTCGACGGGCCTCTGTGCCACTGCATCGCCGTCTGTTCGCATCGGAGACTCCAGCCGTTCCCAAGTCGGAGCGTGATCGCGACTTCCTGGCCGCTTTGCAGGTTTTCTATCGAATGGAGGGACATTTCACCGTTCCGTACGAATTCGTGGTGCCCATTCCTCCCTCCAACGTCGATACTGAAGCTTTCCCGTGGCCTAAAGAGACTTGGGGTATGGATCTAGGCAATCGTCTCCGCCTCTTCACACGTGGACGCTGTAGTCCCTTTAAGTGCGCGTTGCTACGTACCGTGGGGTTCCCATTCGATGACTGGAAGACGTACGTGTGGGAGATGCAGATCATCCCGTCGCTCCAGATTTTCCAGGAACTGGAGGGGCATCTCTTTGTCCGTCAGAGCTTCCAGGTGCCAGTAGGTGACGACAGGTGGCCACGTGCGGCTTGGGGTGTCAAACTCGGTTCCCAGTGCCAATTGCTACGTCGTGACGCGGAGGATGGTCTCTCCGAGCAGCGCAAGCAGCAGCTGGATGCCATGGGTTTCGTCTGGAGTGACGCGCAATGGAAATGGAAAATGCAGTTCCTCACAGCCATGAAACACTATAGAAATCTCTATGGACATTGCTCCGTGCATCACACCTTCAAAGTACCTACAAGCGACCCGTTCTGGCCCGAGGTGAACTGGGGATACAGACTCGGACATGCTGTAGCCAAAGTGAAGGCCAATTTAGAGGAGCACGCGATGACGCCTCGAGCTATGGCCGATCTTAGGGAATTAAACTTCTTTGAGGACGGACTATCGCTGGAGACCTGGCGTGAAGCTTTGATGCCCAGCTTGGAGGTCTATCCGAGTCTCTTCGGCAACGCATTCATCCCACATGACTTTGTAGTCCCCAGTGAAGCCCTATGGCCGGAACGTGCGTGGGGTATGAAGCTCGGATACATCGTGGAGACCATCAACTCGAGACGAATCTTTACAGACGAGATCCAGAAGGACAAACAGAAACTCAAGGAACTCGGTTACGCGTGGGAATCACTCTTTGGTAAATGGGCCAAGGAGCTGCTGCCGGCGTTGCGACTTTACAAAGCCAAGTATCATCATTGCGACGTGCCTTCGTGGTGGGTTGTGCCTTCGAACGACGAGTCCTGGCCCAAGGCGCTACGTGGTTATCATCTGGGCAAGCAAGTGGTTCGAGTTCGACGCAATGGACGCGGCAGTACCGACGTGGTCGATGTTTTGTCCGAACTGGAGGCTCTCGGCTTCAAGTTTAACGCTTTTGAGAGTTATTTCGTCGACCGCGTGCTGCCAGCACTAGAGGTGTACGCAGAAATCTACGGCGACACTCATGTGCCTCAAGGTTTCATCGTTCCATCCGAGAGCACGTGGCCGCGACCTTCGTGGGGGACAAAACTGGGTCATACGGTCCGCAACATTCGCAATCGACATCAGCACGCGCAACAGGTAGAAATGTACCGCGAGCGTCTGGAAGAACTCGGTTTCGTGTGGAGCATCTACAAGTCTACGGCTGCTACCAAGCGCGATATTGTCGACCCCAGTGTGGAAATTTACAAGGAAATTAACGGCGAAGACGCTGAAGTGCCGAGGAATTTCACTGTGCCTGCAGACGACACGCGTTATCCAGAGGTAGCAAAGAACTTTGAGTTGGGGGCATGGCTCGCTCAGTACAACAAACGCACGACTGGACTGCTCCCGTTCCAGACGCAAGAAGGTAAGAAGAAAGCGGTTGCAGCCAATGACAAGCGTCATGCCCAGGCCAGAGCTCAAGGAAAACTCACATCACATGCCGAGCAGTACTGGAAGGACGTGCTGTTGTCTTCGTTCCGAGCACACGCTGATCTACATGGCAGCTGCGAAGACATGGATGGCAGCTTTATTGTACCAAACGAGGAGCCGTATCCACAGTCTGCTTGGGGACTCAATCTCGGTCTTCGTCTGCGTCATGTGCGTCACGGTGTCCGTTATGCGAGGGAAATTGCCAAATACAAGGACGAGCTGCTGGAGATTGGCGTCCTTCGTGATGGAGATGGCATTTCCATTGAACACAACGACGACAACTACGCTGAAGAGGAAGGAGGTCTCGACGACGATGATGGCGATTTGGACGAAGAAGAAGATGGCTACGATGATGACGAGGACTTTGACTATGAGGATGAAAGCGTCGAGGAGGAACAGCGCAGCAAAGCTCACCTCGACTAGAGCGCGTCACCGTGATACCAAGCACAGCGTGTGCTGATGATATCGCCGGGATGGTCTAGTGCTTGTTAGAACTTTAGAGAGAAACGAATATATTGGTGCAAACAAGCGCCTGCAAGCCACGACGTACGCACTAGTCGAAACACCAACATTGTCCACCACGCTCCCTCTATGCGACGGGGGTCAGACGACCACGCTCAAGACGAAACACTAACTGGTTACTGCACTACATGTCCACAGGACGCCGTATGGAGCCGACAAGTTGCGGCATGCTTTGTGTTCTCTGAGCAGACAAGATGCCTTCAATGCGGTCCACGGTCTGTTCGATGGAGCTGATACGCGACGAGTGCTGCGTCAACGTCGCCAATAGCGTATCGTGTTGTTGCGCTAGAAGCTGCTGGGTGGATGTGATGCGGTGGAAGAGCTCGATGCAGGACGAGTCAAGCCGCTGGAGCTGAGCAGGAACTGCTTGTTGAGTCGCTGCGACGTTCCCAGGCTCGGCAGAGACGAGGTCAGTGATGCAGAGCTTCGAGTTGGTCGAGCTGGAAGTTTTGGCCGACGCTGAGGACGTCAGCTTTACGCTTGGGTCCAGAAGTTGGTATCGCGGCTGTGAGTTTGGCGCCGATGACGGCGTTTTCGGCCCCGAACGACGCAAACTGCCTCTGCGGCTACTGCGCATACTGCCGTTAGATGACACACTGGAAGCGTTCGAGCGAGGCTGCGTAATGCGGAAATCCCCGTCCTCGATCTCCTCTGGAACACTCTGCAGTGAGGCCGCGCGAATCTCCGGGAACGAAGGCATCGATGCTCGACGTTTGTGTCGCTTGTGCATCATGGCAGGAGGGACAGGCACAGAGCCTTCGCCTAGCAGCAGTTTCTCAGCAGCTGAAGACGCGTAGGATAACACTTCCATCGCGCGCACTGGCAATTTCTGCTTCGGCTTTGGGTCCATAACAAACACTGAGCCGATGATGATTCCAGTGCTGGGGTCGCAGATCGGCGTCGTAGCGTAGAAGCGGATGTTGGCTGAGCCTGTAACCAGTGGATTCTGGTTAAATCGAGGGTCTTTTGTCGCGTCCATGACGATCGTAGGCAGAGGCGTCTGCAACACTTGAGAGCAGAAGGCAATTTCTCGTGGCAGTTCCCCCTGCGCGATACCATACCGAGCCTTGTACCACTGACGCGTCTGATCCATAAATGCCACCGCAGCCACGTTGCAGTCGAGGACTTGTCGGACGAGTTCGCATACCGCATCGTACTCCTTCTCCGGCTCAGTGTCTAGCACTTTAAACTGCGTGAGGATTTCGTGTCTGCGAGCTTCGTAGATCTCGAACTGTTCGTGTTCTGGAAGGAACTCGATCATGTCCGTCGCGGGGATTATCGGCTGCCCTCGACGACTTCCACGCTGACTAACAGGGATCGTGGGTCCGCCACTTCCGCCGAGACTGCTCGTATCACTCACATCGCTGTCTGCATCGCTCCAGTTATCGCAGCCAGAAAAGTCCGAGAAGCGACTGCAGAATGAAGTGCTGGTACTTGTCGTTTGTAGACTGTCTCGATGAGTCTTTTTCCCTTCCTGCTTGCAATTCTCAAGGACGATTTCGTGTGTCTCCTCCACTTCTTCTTCCTCGTTGGACTCGGACTGCTCCATGACGGGAGCACTGGCGTTGATGTGCTCGCTCTCAGCTAGGAGCATGGCCTTGTCAATGCAGTCGAAACACAGACGCACTGTGACTTCCAAGGTAGGAGTCACACGCACTCTTCGTCGCCTGTAGCAGTTGGAGCACACAATCTCACCACACGAGCGACAGTGGCGCTTGATCGAGAACGGACGGAACTTGCGAGCACAGTAGAAGCAGTTGGGACGCTCCTCCATCTTGACCCAGTTCTCCTTCCCCAGAAGGCGTACTGAAGACAACGTCGACTTGTCGGTCATGATGGTCTCAAGTCGCTCCTGCTCATTCACGTGATTCGCTGAGAGCCCTCGCGGCCGACGTGATCGAGCTGCCATCGCGCCTCGCAAGCAGTCGAGAGAGGTGATGATTCAAGTGATCGGCACACTCGATAAAAATACTCGACCGCGGTCAAGTGAAAGAAATGAACAGTGCCAAGTCTTTACCTCCGTCGCAACCGACCAAACGAACGCTGGCGGACGCGAAAGAGAGCGTTTTTACCAAGTGGTGACCGCAGTCGTCACATGGACTGCCACTCTCGTCTCGGATGACCAGCGCTCAAGAGTATCCGGTGCAAACGTGGTGCTTTTGTTTGCAATTCTTTGTCAGGTGGAAACCCCCACATGGCCGAGTTGCGGTTCATCCAAGCACGCACCTTCTGGTCGTCGACACCTATGCCATCTCACATTGGAGCTTAACAGACATGGCTACAAACAAGTCAGAATTTAGCTTGAAACTTTGTAAGTGAGGGGTAGTCAGCATGCGACGTGTGTAATACCACATGGGCCAAACAGGCGGTGGGTGAAGCAGCAACGGCTGAGCAAGGAGTCCTTGAAGGACCCAATGCTATCGTAAAAGGCAAAGACGTTCATCTGCTACAGAAGAAGCAGCCAGAACCGAGTGCACGTGTTTGAATCGAGCACATGCAGCTACATGAACGCATTTCTAACGTCTCTGATGGTTCATAGGCTAATGGCTGCGCTTTGAGAATTTGCCCCAGCTGGCCCAAAAATATGCTCTTGATGATGAAGTTCATCGTCCGTATAGACGTCGGAAGTTGCGTATTATAGTGCAACGTCTTGACGACCGTGTCTCGCTTTGCATGAGGGCCCGTGGGTCGAGACGGGACAGATTGCAGCTCGATTGCAAACTTCAGACCGAAAATCCAAACGCCATAGAAGATCGTTGTCCTATTATAGCAGCGCATGATGAGAAGCAAGCTTCGCCTCCCCCTATTTTATTCGTGCAATGTGGCATGGACGACCTCGGAATGTCAAGTGGCCTGGCGCCCACTAAATAATGGCAGACTCTGCCCGATGAGCAGCGTCAACGACCATCTGCTCACGCCACCCACATGCTCGGAGTATTCGCGCAGCTTTGAGTTGTTTCGTAGACGAATAGCAGGTGCCCCACGACGTCCGCTATTGGTGACTAGAATTTGATGATCGACTGGTACTCCAGTTTGAGCTTCAAGCTGGTGTTTCAAGTGCAGCACCGATTCATCTGACTGTACATGTAGGCAGCAATCCAGACATGCATTATTTTCCATCGTGTGCATCTGCTGGTTTCCGATCTTCTCGCGCAAAAGCGGACATTTAACTCTGATAGTGACTGTGCCATCGCCTGTCTGACGTTCTCTCCTGTCCTTATCTGAGACCAATGCGAGATCGGCTGGAGCAATTGCAGAGTCGTTGTTGTCCTCGGAACTCCTGTTTCTGCCAACATTAGGCTGTTGACGAGCAAGGAGCAGCAGCTTCTGGTCAACGAGTTGCTGTTCGAGCACTTGGATGCGTTGTCGCTGTCGATCGGCAAGTACATCCGCTCGAGCTTTGCTGGGCTTCATGGGTTGCTGTGAAGCTCGGTTCCTTGAGGGGGACAATTTCTGCTTGGCAACGCCAGGGTTCTTCTTTCCCGGCGTCTTTGCAGTTTCCTTTTGCCTGCGTAGTTTTTTCTTGAACTGAAGCTTCTGTTGAGCGCTTCGACCTCGTTCTGTAACTTCCTGTTCTTGCTGCATTCGCCTATGCAGCACCACGAGGTACTGAATAATGGGCCCTGCAGAGTCAGCTACAGGCTTTAAAACCGAGTTCATTGATCGCTTTGATGGCGTTGAGATCGATCGCCATCGTCCGAACCGCTCAATAGCCTGCAGGAACGCCAGACCGTCGATCTGACGGGTACGTTTGGTCGGTTCTTCATCTTCAGCATCGTCCAACACGATGAAGCGCCTTACGAGGTGCGTCAATTCCCGCTTGGAGCACGTGAATGGCAACGCTCGGATCAACCGCTCAAAACTCTTCACATCAGCTCTTAATGGCGCAGAATGTCGACCCGTACTCGGTCGCTGCATTGCACGAAGGCGCTGCTCCAGGTAGTGACACACGTCACGAGCCACACCACGCCACTTTGACCTATTACTGAGTCCTTCTTCATCTTCTGTGTCAGTATCATCCCACGCTTTTCGGATTGGTACTCTGTCAGTTCGTAAGATGACGCTGGCATCACGAAGCCCGTCTAGCAACTTCTTGATAACGTCTTCGCAGACAGTGTCATCGGTTGTACCGTTCAACCCTGTTGTCGTAGAATACAGCGAGCTGTCGGTACTTCCGTCCACGATACTCATGAGAATTTTGTTACTCAGTGGATTTCGGCGCAGCATCAGTGAGTGGAGTACTCTAGAGCCATCGTTTTGAGTCTCGAACGCATGCCACTCGGAAGGGATCTCAGTGAGTTCATTGTGTGCAGCATTTAGAGTCTCCAGATACGGCAATTGCACTAACTTCTTTGGTAATGACTGCAAGGAATTGTCATTTACGTGAAGAGTTTGCAGTTGGGTACACTCTGCGATTTCCACCGGAAGCATCCGCAGCTGATTGCTCTGTAGTTCACATACGCGCAATGCTGGGAGAGCTGTGAAGAATCCAGCAGGAAGTTCACGTAAGGAATTATTCTGGAGATGAAGAGCTTGACAATTCGCTAGCACTATCGGGGACCAAGTCACCACGTTGCGCAGGCGATTCCCACGCACATCAACGCTTGTTACACTAGTATTCACTGGTTTTGGAGGCCCTTTACCTTCGACGTGGACGACAACAAGGCGGGGGAGAACTCGGAGCTGATTCTGAGCGAGGGAGATGGCTACATGTCCCTCAGGAATTGGATAGCAGGATATCGATTCGCCTGTGAGTTGGTTCTGGGATAACGTCAACTCTTCCAGACGGATAAGCTCACGTATCGTACTAGGTAAACGTGCGAGTTGGTTCTGATGCAACAGCAGTCTCCGAAGTGTTCCAAACAATACGTGAATCTCCTCAGGTAACGTTAAAAGCGCATTAGCGTACAGGTCCAGCGTAACAAGGCGGCTTCTACCTTTCCAGAGATTGACAACTTCTCCACGAATTGATCGCACCATATTTCTGGACAGATCTAGAATTTCCAAATTTGGAATGGCCACCAATGCACTAGGCAACGAGGTCAGTTTATTCCCACTCAAACGAAGATCTGTAAGCACTTCCAATTGACTCCACAAATCGTCAGACCCCATAAAACTCGCATCACGGAGCAGATTGTCGGACAAATTCAGCGCCCGAAGGTTTTTCATGTTTCCTAAAGCCGGTGCGATTGTCCCTAGGCGATTGTCTCGGAGATCCAAAAGCTGTAAATCTTTCAGAGACCCGACAAAATCTGGAATCGAGACCAACATTTGACCGGAAAGCGTCAATTCACGTAGCAGCGTTAGCGTCCCACCGAGCCGAGAGTTTATACCTTCGTCACACTGCAACCAGAGACTCAGTCCTGCTGGAGCTTGCAAAGCTCGAAGATGTTGCAGCTCGGACTCCAGTAACGTGGCGGCTGACCGAATTCTCGCTTGGGCCCCCGGAATCTTCGCAAGAAGTTCTCGTTTCCGCGTAATCAGCTCAAGTAAATTGCATCTGGCCGTGTAGTTTTCGACCAAGCGTTGGATTGCGTCTCCACGATCCGCGTCTTTCACTGCTAAGGGGTCGAATCCCCACATCCGCTGCACGAAGCGCACAAACTGAGCGTCTTCTGACACATGCGCATCACTAACAGTGAGATGAAACTGGAGCAGATCTTGAAGCGTGACTGCCTCAGTCCCCACGACTTGAAGCCAAGCTTCAGCAGCTTCCATCTCTGCAGTAGAACAGTGGCTACGCTGTAACTTGATCGCGGCGTGAATATGGTGGACCCTCGTGTAGTCGGGGGGAGGACGATAGCCTTCTCCTCTTCGACTGTCCGCGAGTTGTTCGAATACGTAACGCACTACCGTCGTCCTCTCCAGCGGAAGACTGCGGAGTAATGTCATAAATCCTTCTGTGACTACCACAGCTTCAGGGGTTTCCGGACCGCTGCAATGCTGAAACAATAGTGCAAAGTCTTCGCGACTAATTGGTGGTGAGGATTCTGCCATCGTTGACTCTGGTCGGTTTGTCTCTTCGGGCGTAGGAAGACAACGTTCAGTCTCATTCATGAGCCACAGCAGCTTCTCGACAGACACAAGGCGATCTCTGCACAAATGTCGCTCAAACGCTAGCAGACGAAAGCCGTACAGATCTAAGCGCAGACGCAGATTCCTAACCAACATGAACAGATCCCGACAATACGTTCGAAAGCGAGCCGTTCCCAGTACTTCTTGAAGACACTGCAACTTGGTTCCCAGCTCGCACGATTCCGCAGGTGGCAACTTCGTTAAGTTGGATCTTTCCAGCGCACTTCGCTTGCGTTCATGAACCTGAATTTCTCGCTCGAGGTTCTGGACGTCATCGTCGAGTTCTGCGGAGATTTCGGCGAGAGCGAGCCATCGTTGCAATGACCCAGGCTCTGCAGTATTCGAGACGGATTGGCATCGTCCCTGGGTGTTGCAAAGTGAACGGAGCGCCGTCACGCTTGACGTTACTACGTTTCGTCCACGGTCGTTGGGGTCGCCTGATTGAGGACGTTGAGAGTACTGCAGAAAATCTGGCAGACTTCGTAGTGAGTTGAGCGTCGAGATTTCGGCCGGAGACCTCGTCAACGGCACTGGATCCGTCTTGGCCATTGCTCCAGAGACAAAGTCGCGCTTGTAGAGTTTGGAAAAAGAGATCGATAATTTTATCAGAGACCGAGTCGACGTCGTTTCAAGATCCTGTCTAGTGGCCACGATGGGGGTGGCCAGTTCGCACGAGTTGACTCCAAGTCAAGAGGCGACGTGGAATTCTTCTTCGCGGCGTGATCTGCAATGCGGTTTGAACTACTCGAGACGAGATTTGATGTTGTGGCCGCAACTGGAGCCCGTGGCTTACTGGTTTACGGCTCAAGATTGTCGACGCCTGTATTTTCGTCTTCGGAACAAAGCGGGAGCAACGGGTTTGCTCACATTGGGCGAGTTTCTGCAGTGGCTTGATGTCGGAGACACCTGTTCCAAGGCATCGCGTCCTGAAGTCTCGGACGTTATGACACCTCCACTGCGCAGGAACCAGCAAACTGTCGACTGTGAAGACACTACTAAAGACCCACCGCCCATCTTAGCAAAATACCTACAGTACGTCTTTCTTACGTTTACCGATAGACGTGGTGATCGACTGTACGCTCTGGAGTTTCTAGCTGCCATGGTTGTCATCTCTCGAGCAATTTGGGACTTTAGCGAGAAGGTGGAGCTGCTACTCGAATTGTTCCATGATCCTGCGACTTCCAATCGGAACGTGATGGCTCATGGCAGTGCTCAACGGCTTAAGGAGACGGACGTAGCGCGTATGCTTCTATGCGTTATGAACGGCGTGGGTCGAGCAACTCAAGGAGTTGCTACAGTCTGGCAGACTCACCAACTCCGCGTGGCCGTATTTGCTAGGCAAAGCGCTCTTCGTTGCATGCAGAGCATCGCGAGTAAACGTTCGGCTACGGACCGTGCTCGAGCAGGTACCAGAAGCGTGTCGAGTGAGGAATTCCGAGCGTATGTGACTTGTACGCCAGCTCTACATCAATTCTTGTCACTTTTCTCGGGCGAGGAACTACGCAATCCTCTCACGTTCGAGCGTAGAGCTGCTCACTGGTCACGACAAACGGAGCTGTACGAGTCGCTTTTGGGTCGATACGTGACATTCGAGGGTCGTGAAGAGCGCCGTCGCAACAGTGCAGCGCTCCTGATCCAGTCCACCTGGAGACGCCGGTGTTCGCTGATTGTTGCTCAACGTTACGCCGATAATCGAGCTGCACACCGCCACGAATCGGCGGCTAAACTGCAAAGATTTTTCACGCATCGACGTGTAGCTCGGGAGCTTGAGGCACGCACTGAGATTGAGAGATCCGCCCTCAACGGAGGAGTATTCGTTGCTGGCTCAGGCCCCAGCATTGGGATGGCCACAACGGAAGCTAAGAAGGGATCCAACACAGGGGCCCCCGTTCGACTCATCGGGGCCTTTGTAACTCTGAATGCAAAACTTAGGACGTTGGCCGCGTCCTCTACATTTGCGTTAGGCGTACAGGACGACGGTCACTCTTTATTCGCTTGGGGGCGATGTTTACCACGAATTTATGACCAAGAAGCTGCTAGTGAGAGTGAAGTATGCCTTTTACAGGCCACACCTCGCCAACTGCATATCCGCTTAGCAGCACCGGTAACTGAAGTGGCTTGCGGCTTACGACACGCACTCGTGCTCACTCAAGACGGTGTAGTGCACTCATGGGGGTTTAATGATCACGGACAATTAGGACACGGATCAGCGGAGACCGTGGCAGCTCGCACCTCTGGCCGAGTGCGCTATGCGTCCTACTACGACCAACGCTCCGGCGAAGAGGAAGAGTATTTGGCTTCCCCCACTAAGCTTCTCTACTTTGAAGGATGTGCAGCTCAACAGGCTGATCCGATCCCAGTAGCTCACGTGTGCTGTGGAGATTACTATTGCATGGCTCTCAGTCGAGCTGGAGATGTCTTCACGTGGGGTGAAGCGTCCGAAGGTCAACTCGGTCATGGCGAGACACACGAGTACTATCAAGTTGCGCTAGCTGATCGGCACATGGTCAACTCGGCTTACACGTACTTGGCACAGCCAGAACCAGTGCTGGCATTGAGCGACGTGTGTATTGCCCAAATTGCATGTAGAGGAAACCATTCCGTCGCGTTAAGCACTGAGTTAGCGGGGTATAGGCTCTTCGAATGGGGAAACTGGGGTAGAAGACGCGGCGTGGACAGCGAGCATGCTTTCGTTCCGGAGGAAACAGTCGGGGCCTCTGCCTTGAGACTGCGTCAAGTAGCAGTTGGAGACCATCACATGCTTGCGGAAGGGGCGAGCGTGTGGCTTAAGCTGGCAACGCGCACGAATAGACCGATCGAAGACGCGGAGGAGGAAACTGATTTCTTGGTGGAGCCATTGGCCGGTGCGTCAAGCTCTTTGGAGGCTATCGAGAAGGACTTTATGGGGAAGGAGTCGACCTCTTGGGTCTGCTGTCTCGTTGACTTGGATGAAGACGACGTGGATGAGGATACTAAACTCGAAGGCGGCGACGACTCTGCTTCTAGTGCAAGCACCAAGGAGAGCAACAAGGGCGCGCTTTGGCATAAGCGAGCAGAGAGATTTGCCGTGAGCCTGGAAGGTCTTGCAGGTTTTGATCCATGTTCGCTACGTCTCATCAATGCAGGTGGCACTTCAAATAATGCTGCTAGCACCTACGCTCAAGGTATAGATCAATGGCTACGTGGTCGGGTGTCAAACAGACTGGTGGTCATGCCGCGGGGCAAACCTGCGGGGTTTTACTTGCAGTTCCGTCTCCCTCACAACACAGGACAAGTGGCAAGTAACGGAGACACTCGAAGCGAAGACGCAAAAGCCGATGATCCCAGTAGCAAAAGTGCAGCCTCTGGTGTGGTCTTGGAGCTGGCTGTGTGCGGATCCAACACGGCCAAGCGAGCCGTTGGACGTCGCGGATTCACCACACACGTGTACCATCCGACAATGGAAGCGGCTGCCAAACGACTCAAGCAACAGCAGCTACGTGCGCGGTCCATGACCAAGAAGAAGCCGACAGTCACACCGACCGAGACGAACAGCATTTTCGTGCTGGAAATCAACCAGAGTGTGCTAACACCGCTAGCTTCAGCTGTCGCCGAAGGGATTGGAACTGAGAGCGAGGCAGAACTGGAAGCGGAGACCATAATCAGCGAGATTGGTCACCGCGTATTGGAGCTTCAAGAAGCTGGCGCGCTTGCTGTGCTTGTGGTGCTGGATCTCTTCGATGCTGATGCGTTCACATTGCGGTTCTCCGATGATTCCGGGGTGTTTGTCCCTGTGTTCATGGTAACACGACAGACTCAAGCTACCGTCATCGGGTCGTACGGAGACGCGGGGTCTGTATCGGAGCCTGATGATGGAGACTCGACTCGGCGTACCTCGTGGACTGTCCAAATTACGTCCTACTATCCCTCACAGCGCCTGCCTTGCAGCCAAAAAACGCTGCCAGCTCTCCACGTCGTCTCTCCTTGCAGTCTATGGCTCCATCGTTCTCATTGCAGCCACCACCGCCACTTATGGCTCGATTCTTCTATCGTACAGACACAGCTGCTACCAGAGCACATGGGGCGTTTGCCAATGGAGCGGCTGCCGTGCTGTTTGTAGCCAACGAAAATCCGTCCGAGCCTTCCCAGGCAGCCTTTCGACGGTCCCTTTCAGCAACTCTGTCAACGCACATCACGAAGAACCATCAGCTTGTCGGACTCATTCCACACGAACATGGACAAAGATTGCGAGCTGCTTCTCGCATAGCTTTCCTCGGGACACCAGCACAGACACCGCTGATACGTCGTTGGTCGTTCTTTGGGGCTACATCGACACCCAGGGCATCAACCAGCTCTGAACTGATCGCTGACGTGCAGTTTGAAATGCGTCCTGGAGGCACAACGTATGCTTGGGGTGACGCCGAGTCAGGGCGACTGGGTTTGGGAGAAGTGGTTGTTGCCAATGCGGGAGGCGATGACTCGACAGATACTGTGGAGGTTGAACCTCGACTTTTCCAGGATGGATACGAGGCACTCACAGATGCCACGTACAGCTTTGTGGCACAACCGACATGTCTTCCTACGCTTGTAGGAGTGGAGATGAAGCAACTCTCGTGTGGAGATGCTCACTCATTGGCTGTGACCAAACATGGCAGAGTTTTTTCCTGGGGACGAGGTACACGAGGCCAGTTGGGCCACCCCATTGTCTCCTCGTGCACAGCAGGAACGGTTGCTTCTCCTACCAATAAGTGGTCACCGCGCATGATACGAGGGCTCCGCCACGACCCCGTTACTGAAGCTGTTGCAACTGACCAGAGCTCGATATTTCTCTCGGAGATCGTAGAGCCAGCGGTGCTCAAACAACGGCAGTGTCAGCTCGCACAACTCCGAGCCATCTCCAAACAAACCGCAGTTTCTGCAGCTGATGAGTAAAAAACTAAATGCTACATATAGTCGAGAGTAGACCACGACTGTCACTTTCTTTCTTTCTCATCGAGGGTCTCCTATTCTTCTATTGGCTCGAGCAGCTCGCGCAGTCTCAATACTAGATCCAAGCAACGAGTGGCGCGTTCCTCAACAGAATTCGTACCAGAATTCACCCCTGTATGACCGTGAGCTAGGGTCGGGCGTGAAAATTGGCGTTTCAATAGTTGTGTCAGCCGAGCCTCAGCTGCACTTTCGTTTCGGCTGAGACTTGCAGCATGCTCGAGCTTCGGTGGATTCGCCGAGCCCAGTCGAGTAGCAGCTAGAGCTTCATCAGGTTCGCTATCCGACTCCTGTGGCAACTCATAGAACTTGACGTCGTGCAGCTCCCATGTTTTCCAGAGTGGCGATGGCTGTGAGAGGTATACGTACAGCGAGTCGAATATGTGTGGGTTCCAGCTCACTGGCAGCTGGTTCAGTTTGACGATTTGCCAGTTCTGCGCGTCGTCTTCATAGTGCACGTGCTTCATCAGCGGATAGGTGCTGGCTAGCTCTGTGCTGGAGCCATCGACGTTAATCTGCACGATTCGCAGCCAGGCCACGTAGAAGTTGCGGAACACAAGACAGCACTGCACCGAAGGCTTGCGTGGAGTCAGCAGAGACAACTTGAACCCGACGCTGCCTGTTGCTTTGGCGGAAGGATGCGCGAGTTTGGGCGAAGCCGATGTTGAGGGAAAAGGAGAGGCCGAAGACGGCACAAGCAGCCGAGAGATCTGGATCGGCAGCTCCGTCATTCCAGTCGAGCGCGATCTTTATTTGCAAGTCTGACCTTTTGGGAGCCAATCAGAAGATATGATCTGGGGAACCTTCAACAGTGTGCCGTATTTGGGGTACCATTCTGACGTATTATCTAGTACTGTATCGTAGCTGGTACCGTGTAGTGGGTACACGTATTAATATTTGCCGTCTCGCCTTGGTTTTTGAACCCGGGTTTGAGTTCTTGTAAATTGCAAGTTGCACTATGAAGGCGATCGATATCCGGGCCCCTTCGTCTCATCTGCACTAACAGTTGTCTGGACCATCACTAGTACTTGCCACGATATTCTCAGATCTTCTCAGCGCTCGTTGCATTTCTCACTGTACTGGCAACGTCCGTCCCACCATGATAAATGTCAGCTTATTCAGCTGCGTCAAAATGTGTACGATAGTCACAGATCTTGGCCGAGGCAGGGTCGATGATAAATGACGCTCGGATCAGAACAGGGCCAAGTATATCTTTGTGCTACCTGTATTTAGCTTCCTGCTCACAATAATACATGTACCAATTCGCAAGTCGCTCCAATCGCATTAGAATTCGGACGATAAGACTGCAACGGCACTCCTAGCGGTCCAGAACTTCCGCTAGCAAAAATACCAGGGCCTAATCTTGTCAGTGCTGCTTTATCGGAGCGTTTGACCAAATGCAGACTGCCCCGGTCTCAAATAGTCCCCGAACCGCGCGAAGCCAATATCATTGCTTGATGATACCCTTTTCTATTAGTGAAGCATAACTCCAATACTTACCCCTACTTTCCCTCAAAGCGCCAATGCTTTCATATCTCTATCGAGGCAGCCGATGGGAAGGTTGACGAGCAGCCAACAGTGCTGTTTATTTTACCGAGTAAGCTTAGTATAATAGTTGGTGAAAGGCAAACGCTCACAAAAAAATGCTCGTGTTCTGGTCAACCCGTCGCAAAGTCTCACAATTTTTCCGTTCGGTCGGGGTCAGGGCCAGAAGTATGAGCTCGAGTCGACGTAGAAAATGCCCAGTGCGAGTTACGCCAGCCATCTTCGCACTCGGCAGCCCAGCCGTTATCGGCAAACATTTTTGGCGAGTTCCTCGCGAAAAGCGATAGCATCTTTGCAAGTGCAAAAAGCGCAGCACTTCCAGCCTCCTCATTCGGCAAGAAGCGCAGTAGGCCACACTGTAGTTGATACCGCAGCAAGTGTCGGCAGGCTATGAGCGCAGAACATCGACGCACGGAATTTAGCGAGGGAGAAGACGAGGAGCTCATGTTCGCCTTTGAGGAGCAGGGCGACGAGCTCTCGCCGCGTCACAGCGAGGGCTCGCACATTTTTCACTCGATCGACGGCGTAGATTTCGAACGACCAGCCAACCCTTTGGCTGCCATTCTCGAGAAACGCGAGGCTCTCGGCCGAAACAAACGCGAACGGGAAGAAGATGACGTGCAAGAGCCTGAAGCGGGCTATACACTAGATAAATCCGTCGGAACCCCCGGAAACCGCAAGCGCAAGACGTTCGATCTCCCCAACGCCCCCGCGCGTGTCATCCGTCCCGTGGCTAAGAGACTCAAATCCAACGCGATCGATCGCTCCGTCACTGCCCCCGCTTGTCTAATGAACAACTTATCGCTCCACATGACGAGGGACGAAACGATCTCTGAACTGGAGCAACTTGAAGAGAAGAGCGCCGCCCCGTTCCGCTCCGCCTCCATCAACATCCCAGACAGTTTCCAGCCCATCCATTGGCCTGGAGACGCCGCAGCGTCACGCAACTCTGGACGTGACCGGAGTCAGTCGTGCAGCTCTTCGTCTTCGTCCAAATCGTGGGCCAGTGGCTTTGGATTCTTCTGCCGTCGCAGTCTGGACGTGTCGTCCCCACTCCGCGTGCGCTTCAACGATCTGATGCTCCACTCGTCGGCGGGGAGCTACACGGGCTCGTGAGCATTATAAAAGCTTCACAACTCCAACAGCATATCGACATAGCAAAAGCATCATAAAAAGGTGCGACGTCCAGCTCGGTCCCCATGCTTCATCGTCCAGGGACAGACCACAAAAAACAATCGGCAACAGCTCCAAGCAGTGGAGTTGACTACCAGCCAGTCTATTGCATCTATCGTAACCACGCAAGAAGAGGCCTTGCAGCCCCACGCCCCACCGATGTGGTGCCCCCCCCCCTCCCCACCCGTGTACTCGATGGGTTATTTAACTTTTGCATGAGAGAAAGTAAAAACAAAACTCTGTGGAGATGACAAACACTCCCCAACCAACACACATTCCTCACTGATAAGTCAAAATGTTGTTGCGTTTGCAAAAATCTTTAGCAGAGAACTTGTTGCAGCTCTGCCAGGCAATCCTGAACCACTTGCGAAGTGGCTTCACTTGCCTTTGCAGCTGAGAAGATGGCAATGTGCACACCCGCCGCTTCTTTCGCTTTAGCGTCGCCAGTCAGCGCCTGCAGCAGTTGGACAGACTGTTTATGACAAAACTCTATATGATGCGACAGACATGAAGCGTACCAGAGTGCCGATGGTCACGAGAGACCGCAGGATCGTGTCGTCGCCCAACTCCTGGACAGTGTACGAGCCGTTGAGTAGATCGGCGGACAATGAGACCACCACAATCTGGTCATCAGGCGTCAGAGCTCCAGGATTTGCTACTTGAGCGCGAGCGAAGCTAAACAAACACGAGAAGTCCAACAATAAAGTCAGACTCTTAGTCTTTTTTCCCAAAGCGAGCAGAGCTTACTTGAGGAGAACGGTCGATAGACTAAGCGCCACAAGTTTGTGGTGGAAAGCCTGGAACGACGGCAATTTGCTCAGCACCACCGTCTTGTGAGCCAGAATAGCCTTGCGAGCCGCGTCATGCAAGAACATGTTTGCAAGCACTCGCAGCGATAGCATCCGCGATGACATTGGGATCGCATCGTCACCGTCAGTTGGTCCTGGCTGCAATCCCAAGGTCAACACCTGGGTGACAAGTGTGGCCAATCCAGCTTCACCCAGGGCGGCTGGACCCTGAGGGTGCACCAGGACTAGTCGGAGAAGATCCAGTGTCGGGAAGGCGTACTTTGCAGGCCACTTGTCCAGCACACTCCTCAGCGTTGTGATCTCGGCAGCAGCGAAGGTGCTAGAGTGGAAGAACGCAGTGTCTTGAACGGTGTGCGCGATCTGGTCAAGCGCGATGAGCTGCGAGTCAATGAGAGCTTCTGGTGCCTAAGGTAGCTCAGTACAATATGCTCAAGTGTTACAGTATACTCCCACGAAGCACTGCATTCAACCGTAACTAACCTGGGATTCTTTCATCTTGTCGTTAAACTGACGCAACGTGGCCATGAGCTTGGTGATTTTCGTTGTTTCGAAGGTGTTGTAGCCGGGCTGAAGACACACACCAGAATGTTTGTTAAATATGGACATGGACACTTGTCTAAAGCCATAGGAGGAAAAGACGTACCACAGGAAAGTACTTGTATCGAGAGGAAGTGACAGCAGACCCACTACATGTAGGAGCGGCACCGCTGGGCGTGGAAATCGCACTATCGTCGTTTCCGAGCACAGGCGGGCGGTACTCGGCAGCACGTTGTGTGATGTAGTCGGCGATTTCTCTCAAGTATCCCTGATCCAGCATGTGCTTGTCGATAAATGCTTGAGCTACCGTGAATGGATTCTGACCCTGATTGTATCCGATCTCCAGCTTCTTCAGACCACCAGGCAGCTCAATCTCAACAGGGATCACCATGTCGAAGGCCTCGCCATCTACCACACCGCCACCACCGGTTCCAGTTACCTCTCCGATCTGCAAACAAACCAAACATTTAGCCCGTTTCTCACTCATCCGCAGCAATATGCCATACAGAGCACACGCACATCAATCCAGGTTCTCGATGGCTCACTCCATTGACAAGCCCACGCTTTCGCACCACGACGGAACATCTGAATCTGGCCGTCTGAACTTCCGTTGACGCTGGCGCGATGGTCATAATCAGGAAGCGCGTCAATCTCCACGCCACTCGGTCCACGAGTCTTCGCGATCCTCGCATCATCCACCGCGGCCTGGAACGAAGCCACCGCGCTTGGGTCCATACGCGCCGCATCATGTGTAAAGACCCGCACAACCTTATCGTCACAACCCGTGGCAAAGTCTCCATTCCCAAGCGCAGTAACACACCACAGTCCTCCTGGGTGCTCCACCGTCTGAACAAGAGCCCCTTCTTGTGACCACACACGCGCCGTGCAGTCTTCACTAGCAGACACGAGGAAACCGTTGCTCAGCACACAAACGCCCAACACGAAGCCAGGTTTGCCTTCTGTGTTTAGAGGATGTTCCATGCTGGCCAGTACAGTGCCGTCCAGCGCCCGCAACTTGATAGATCCGTCATTGGAGCAACTGACAAAGCCGATATCAGGTACCAGGGCCAGCTGTCTGATGGGGCCTTGGTGGTCTGTGAGTGTCTTGGTCAGTGCGTACGTGTCCTTGGCCCAGAAGCGCAACTTGAAGTTCGCCACGCTGTTGCCTACCTGCTGCCCAGTGGAGCCTGTGACTAGTGAGCCATCGGGCAGACCCAGAACGCAGACGCCGTTTTCGTGTCCTGGTAGAATCTGTAGACATTGAAGCGTCTCGAGACTCCAGACACGCGCGGTGCCGTCCCAACTACCGGAGAGCAGCAGTTTTCTGTCTGTGGAGATCGCGAGAGAGATGACCCCGCCCTCGTGGCCTTGGAGTAGTCCATAGCGCTGGCCCTGGGCGTCGAAGAGGCGGATGTTCTTATCCATGCTGCCAGTCGCGAAGCCGCCACCTTCAAGTGCCACACTAGCTGTAACCCAGTGTTCATGGTCAAAGATAACGGCGTTCTCCATAGCGATGAAGCTATCGATAGTGGAGCTAGAGTCGCGCAGCCAGAGACGAGCTACGGAGTCCATCGCGCCGGTGAGGAGAAGGCCAGTAGACAAGGAAGAGATACTGCGGATCTGTAGAAGCGTAAGGAGGCAGATAGTGAGCAAGGGGCGGCGAAGTGGAGCAGCAGAGTAGGGAGAAGGCAGATGTAGTAGGAAAGGAATACTTACAGCACCCTCGTGCCCACGCAGCTCACAGTTGACGTCGTACGTGGCCATCATCGATTTTTGCTGCTCGCTTGAAGGGAATTATCGGTGTTTCTAACTGTCGAAGATCGTTTCTATACTCACATAAGTCCGATCACTGCATTTAAAGCTGTGTAGACTTGTATGAGAGTCGTTATTGTGCCAGACTGAAAACGCAAAAAATTAATTGTCAAGGAAATTTTGAGTCCCTCGTACGGTTAAATTTGTATACCCGTATACGGAGCTTTTGTGCCACTCATTTAGGGGCACTCCATTTCGAGAAGAACAGCGCCAGCAATGGATCGGCGCCAGCCTGCACGCGCGTCGAAGAAGCGGCCCTCAGAGGAAGCCTACAGCGGGGGCAGTGAGAATGACGGCTCGGACGCGAGCTGGGTGGACGACTCCGCCGTATCCAGTAGTTCCAGTGCGGCGACGTGGAGTGTCGAGGATTCAAGCGTGACTGATACGCCTGGCGAGAGAACAAGTGGATGTAGTAGCGGAAGATGATCTCCAGAAGTCTGTGCAGACTTAGTTGAAACGCAGTTTCAGTCCTGGGAAGCCTTTCACTCGTATCTGGACGAGTATCAGAAGCAGACTTACCAGGTAAGGGCATTGATGGCACTATGTATTACATTATGAGAGTATTTAACGGGTTTGACCAATTTACTGTAGGTTTTTAGAGTGCGATCAACTAAAAGCGTGGCAGAACGGAACAGGCTAATCCAGAAGGCCCAGAAGCCGTCTTCAACGCTCATCCCAGAGGCATGGTGTACGTACGTAAAGACGCTCATTTGCACGCATGGCGGCAAGTACAGATACCGTGGTAAAGGGAAGAGGCCACGTCAGGAAGTACGCCCGATCAAGTGCAAGACCCAGGTGCGAGACGTTGACTGTCGGTCACTGCCGGTCACAGTCGGTTGTAGTCTGGCACTGTCGGTCACAGTCGATTACTGATCGGTACTTTATGTAACAATACTATTCAACAGCTAACGTTGCTCATGTGTGTATACAGATAAACGCTTGCGTTCAAGTGGTGAACACATCCCCTCTTCATTTTGCAGTTTGCGTCACTAAGACTGCATTATCTCACAACCACGGATTGGGGTTGCGTACGTACCGCCATTATCCCGCTAATCGACTGGCTATAGAAGAAGATGTTTTGGCGACGGTCGACTCCCTCAGAAAGTCAGGCACAAAGACGCAAAACATTCTGAAATTTATCGTGGAGAACACCAGCAGCGATCCAACTCCTCAAGATGTATGAAACCTAATCCGGAAGCTAAAGAAACAAGACCAGGGCGTGTCATCTCGTTCTCAACGCATCAAGAAATGGATGGTGGACTTTTGTGCTGTTCAAGGGAACGTAGGGCACATTTTTGTGGACCCATCAGGCGGAAAGGTTCGTTTTGCGTCTCAAGTATTGTGAATCGGTCAGTTTGATTCTAAATGTGTGTGTTTGGTTTTGTAGAAAATCGCTACGTGTATTACACTACAAACGAAGCACACGATTGACAGTTTTAGCAGATTCCCTGAAGTTTTAATGATCGACGCAACGCATGGTACCAACGCCTCAAAGTACAAGATTTTTACGTTCATGGCTCATGATATTTTCGGGAAAGGTCAGTACGTACAGCACGCTATCCTACAAAATGAACGAAGTGAAACGCTGTTTTCGGCGTGTGAAGAATTTAAGAAGCAGAATCCTTCCTGGACTAAGCTGCAGTGTGTGATCGTGGACAAAGACTTTACCGAAATTGGAGTTTTGCAGACTGCTTTTCCAGACGTTCGTATACTTCTCTGTCAGTTTCACGTCGTGAAATATTTGCGGGAGGAGATTGCATGCGCCGACTATGGCTTCTCGGCGTGGCAAAAAAAGCAGCTTCGGGCAGTTGTCAATCTGTTGGTGTACGCAAAAACGGAACGGGAGTATGAAAAGCACCGACGCTACATGACACGTTTGACCTGTATTGGTACCAGCCTTGGCACCGCCACGGCTAGATCTGGTGCAATCGTGGAATCGGGTGCGGAATCTGTTGCAGTCGGTGAAAGTGTGGAGTCGGTTGCAGCATTAAGTACTGCTGTGGACACAGAGCAGGCTGCCTTAAATCACCCGTTTGAGACTTACTTTGCGAAGAATTGGGACGGGTGCAGGGACATGTGGTGTTCTTTCACGAGACAAAGTGCGGTGACGTTGGGCAACAACACCAATAACAGACTTGAGGCGTCCTGGAAGCACATGAAGGAGATTGTAAATTCTTCAATGGTCTTAGATGAGTGTTTGGCTTCAATTATTTTCTATCAGACTCGATCTGAACAGCTTCTGTACAACCGTGCAACCAAGATTTCTCACGTCCATCACGAAGAATACGATAAAGAGATGAATGTCGTGGCTAACTTGGTTAGCAAGCATGTATGCGAATTAATTCATGAGCAGTACGTGTACGCAACTGGTCCGGCTTCCTATTCCTTTTACGAGGCAATGCCTGGAATGATCTTTATCAAGAATGAGAAAGATGCAGAAGGAAGTCTGGACGAACCACGAGCAGAGTACACAATTACTTAGTCGACCTGGGAGTGTTCGTGTTTATTTGCAAGTACGCGGCTATTGCCATGCAGGCATGTTTTCTACGTGCGTCAGCAACTGAAATTGGAGACAATTATTCCGACTCAGTGTTTCCATCCTCGTTGGTTGTTGTCTTCGATGAATGACATGCGTCCTCCGTTGGAGACCGAAAGGAACGGCTGTTCTGTGACTCGGATTGCATCGCTTCCAAAGCTTCCGTGGGACTCTAACCGCAAATTTCGCCAAGCTAATAGCTTTGCTACCGCCATAACGGAAGCTGTAAGCACGCTGGGAATGGCGGAATATCGGGTGGCAATTCAGGCGTTAGCGCAAGTATTAACGATGTTTACTGAAAAAAAGTTTGAGCTGATCAAGGAGCTGTCGTCTATGGGTCCAGTTCCTCAGTCAGTGGGTCAGTCGGTAGCGTCGGTGGAGTCGGTGTCTCGGTCGGTGTAGTCTGTAGAGTCGGTGGCTCAGTCGGTGGAGGCGGCTGACCACTCGGTGGAGGCGGTTGACCACTCGGTGGAGGCGGTTGACCACTCGGTGGAGGCGGTGGAGTCGGTGCCTCAATCGGTGGAGTCGGTGCCTCAATCGGTGGAGTCGGTGCCTCAATCGGTGGCGGTTGATCACTCGGTGCAGTCGGTGTCCCAGTCGGAGGAGTCGGTGCCTCAATCGGTGGATCACTTGGTGGATCATTCGGTGATGCAATTGACTCAAGTTCTTGAATCCGAACCAATTAATGCGGAATCACCTGGATTCGAGATAGCAAGTCCCTTACGCCCGCGAGGCCGCCCGAAGCAGAAGGCAAATACTAAGAAAGCGAAGAGGAATGTATCTATCCTAATGGCACAAGATGATTCGATACTTCACGACCAAGGTATGAGCCTCAAAACAGTCCAGGTTCTCCTTTCAAATGAACCTACCTACGCATCATGTGCTGAGCCGCTACACCGATTCCAGCTATTTGTTTTTGATAAGAAGGTGAAGCCCCCAATGCCCTACGTTATTTCGAAGATGCCGGCTAACAAAGTTATCATGGATCCAATCGACATTTCTCGTATTTTGGCCAAAGAGATACTCCAGCGAGCGAGCAAAAAGGTAGTTACCCTACAAAAGAAGCACAAGGAATTGCCAGAGCTAGACTTTGCAGTTGATTTTCCTGGTCTATTTGTAATCGGGATGCAGACACTGAGAACCATGAAGCTATGGCACCAAGCAGTCAAAGAGCTAAACAATATCGAGAGAGCCGTAAAATGGGTCTCAGAAATTGATTTCTCGCTGGATATTTCGCCTGTATTTCGGGTCGAACCAGATGCAGAATTGGCGTCAAAACTAGAAGCAATTCCGATATTCTCTGAAAGGGTAAGCACTTTGCATATTTTAAGGGTAGCAGCAACTGACACTTTGTATACGTATTTTGTAGATTCGGATCGTTGACTTTGCATGCAGATCACTACTTAGTGACACTGCGTTGGCAGAGGCAATGGCAAAGCTATTTGGTCAACAAGAGGAAGTCATGACTGTTGACCCAGCGATATGGGGTATCGTGGAGAGAGGAAATGTGAGCATTCCAGACGAAGAGTTAAAGCACTTGTTTAATTGTATTACTGGGCGAATTATACTGCTTCCAGTGAACTGTAACGGCACGCACTGGTGCGGGATCATGATCAACACAGCTGAGACAACTATCAAGTACTATGATTCCATGAGCAGCAGCTACACTGGTACCCTTAGAGTACTAGCGCACAAACTTGTGCAACACATGCCGGCTACACCAGGACGTTACAGAGTGGTTCCCTATGTTGCGGATGCTGGAGTCCAACTAGACAGCTACAACTGTGGGGTGTACGTTCTGCTTGCATTCGAAACGTTCTGTAGCGGAGAAAGCACAGGTGAATTGAGTAAGAAGGCACTGCAGTACCAGCGTTATCGCTACTTGCAGATGTGCATGTGAAGCAATACACTTTGTTTAACTTGAATTATATAGTTGCTGTTAAAACACATTGTGTCGGAAACATCACAGAAAGGTTGGATTTGTCCTTGAGGTTAACATCGGCCTTGAGGATGACTTCGCTCTAAAAACACTAAGTGCTCGTATCCGGATTATACAGCATATACAAGAAGGGTGAATTTCTTCGTCGGGCACAATCGGTCACGTCGGTGGTCAGTCGGTCACGAATGCTCGTCTTCGTACCTTTCAGTCGGTCACAATAACGCCTGCCAAATTTTATTTTGAATACAGTCGTGCACCTCGTTTTCGGCCCCGGTATGGCTTAATAACCTGCACAATCTAATGATTGGGCCACATGCATTGCGCAAATGAGTTGCCCATCTCCGTTGGACCAAATAACCTCAAGGAGGGATGAAACGCCGCACTTCCGCCACGATGTATCAGCTCAATCACTTCACCATACAACAGCTCATTATACATTTTGTCGCAAAAGGCCATGGCACGTCGCCCGTCCGCCTATTC